ATGTTGCTTCTTAGCTTGGTTGATTGCACTCTAAAATTCGATATTTCTGAATCTTATGGAATTCCGATACTGTTTTCTTGTCTAAGTGTGTATTTGGTTATCCGGCTAGGTTCCCAGCTTGAGCAGTTATAAAAGATAGGAAGCTGAAATTTCAGGAAGATGTTCCTGTCAGTGCGCGACTTCGAAAATTTAAATTAAGCTTCCACTTATGCATAGGTTTCGCATACGAACACACAATGATTTTGGCAGCAAATTTTCCATTTCGAATTGGATGGGGTTGAAAACAAATTTAAGGGGATACTGGCTGCCAGGTGCTCGTCGCTGTCTTTTCCTGGGTGCTAATAAAGCATTCTTTATTCACAGTGCAAAATGGTGTCATATGTTTGCGTATGATGAAAAAACGCCCCCGTTTTATTATTAAATCTAGGACTGATTTTTCCAGGGATGTCGACAGCAGCGCCGCATTTCTTAACTTCTTTTCGGACGGGGTGTCCGGTTATTCGAAGATGTATGATCCACGTTACAGACCAGAGGAACGCCCGCAACTTTTCGCGGCTGATCTGGCAGAGGTTGTGGGCTATTTCTGTTTCTCATAGTTAAATTTTTTTTCAGGTCAAGATGTATTAAAGATATATTCAGCCCTTCCAGATTAAGATTGTTCGATCCTTCCTCGTAGTTTCAAACCCAAAGCGCGCGCACACACACACACACACACACACACACACACACACACACACACACACACACACATCGAGGACTTTATATATATTTTTTTCCTCGATTTCTTAGAGAAGATAGTTCGATATGCGTAACTGCTTGACTTTTACTGCATTATCGATCGCTAGTGCAGCGAACCGCCAAAGCATAACTGAGCAAAATGCGACACAGTGCCTCTTGACATGTCTGGATCCGCTTGGGGTTTTGTCTCGTCGTACTTCTGCACTGCCTATTCCATTGCCGTTAAAATGCCTGGGTGGTAATTTTATGGCAGATTTACATATGGTTTTTTTTTTTTTTTTTT